ACCCAATGCCTTCTCTCGCCGTGCTGTATCGTGACTAACAACTCACCAGGATACTGATAACCAAAAGGAGTCGACTGCTCATGAACCGTGTAATTACGTATGATACATCTGCATTAACCACCAACACGACAAAGGTCTGGTAACAGGAAGCAGATTACTCATAAAAAAGGCCGACAAGTAACAAACACGAACATAAAATCGAAAACCAAGGTGGAAAGAACTTTTCTGTTACCAGGACAAGAGAAATATTTGTGCCCCAACTTATTTCAAGTGATGCATCCAGTCTTATCATGAAAGGAGCGTGCGCCTAGAAAATAAGGCGACTGAACTGTGCGTGGTTATTAACCTTTTAGCGCACGCAACTTCAAACTTTCCTTGTCATGCAGTATTAACTACCGGTTTAAAATAAATATGACTTAACAACTGCCAAGTACTGCATAAGGTCCTTGGATCGAAGTCCGGCTAACTAAAATATTTACTAGAAAGCTCAACAATTTAAAAGGACACGCACTGTAGAAATTCACAGCTAGTCTACTGCCGTATAAGAATGCAATTTTATGTTAATATTCTAACGAGAACTTTTATAATAGTATTTTAATGGAATGCAGGCTTACCACGCTGTATATTTGGAGAAAGAGGACAGAACTCTGTTAGATCAGAAGACGATAGGCAATTCTAATCATGACGCAGCACTTTCATGAATCACATTTATAATTGTACATATAATTTCTTCGCCAACTAATGCATCTGCTTTTTACGTCATGTTATATTTTCTTTGCGTGTCAAACACTGAATCTGAAGAAGACATACCATTGAATATCTACAGTAACTACAAGAAAATACTGTGCCTTGAAACTACCAAGACCAATTACTTTCCCGCACTTACAACATATTCCACATCTTCCAATAAGCCACAAAACTAAAACACCAAATCTCCAAAATCTTCTAATATGTACTTTTGACTCACTCCTCCAGTTTAATTCAGCCGCGGACAGACTCGCAGCTCACAGTGAAGCTACGACAACTTATTCATTCGCACATACACGGTAATCACTGGGAAGGGACATCGTTTCATCATGCTACAAAGATAGTGGCTCCTAGGATGTTTCACCTCGTCTACGATAGTCTGAGAATGTCGTCAAGATGGTGGAGGCAAGAAACACACAAAGAACATTTTGGTGAGGAAATCTCTTACGAAACGCCGACTTGGGACACCTAGAAGGAGATGGGAGAAAACAAAAAGACGGATTTCGTGAAAACAGGTTGTAAAACAAGCTGATGAAAATGATTCAAGAACGTGTCCAACGACGGGCTATTGCATTAGTGGTACTGAACCATGTGGTTCTTTTGCCATCCTGTTAATGTAAACTGAAAACGGATTTCGATCATTCACCACATACGCCACTTTAACTGGAATGTCTCCATACTTTTTACATAAAGTCTGTAAGGACATACAAATTGCCGCGATCCCGTGTGTGCCGTATCGACAGACAGAGTCGGGACGTGAATGTACGAAGCATAACTCAACTTTCCCCCCAATTAAAAAATTAAGATAATCAAATTTATTCAGAAACTTGAAGGGAAGAGATCACTCGAGAGACTACCAGCACACAGGAGAATAATATTAAAATGGATCGTAAAGCACAGTTTGTATGCAGCTGTAGACTAAGTTCAAGTAGCTCAGGACAGACAAGAACACTTATAAACATGATAAGTAATGTCTTCTGGCTTGTTGCACCGTGCAGTCTGGTAGAAATTTATCGACGTTTCAGATGTCCTTGCTGCCTCCATCATCAGGGCGATGCCTATAATACTTGCAAGCACTGTTAAGAAGTAACTTAAAATAGTACAGTTGTATTTCAGAGCATTAGGTTCCGCCCTCAGGTTCATAGGAGGATACGCATAAGATTTTGAAGCAAGTGCAGAACGCGGTAGTATGAATGAACGGTGCCCCAGTTCTGAAAGCAACCGAATGTGAAGTCTGGCTTCACTGATTGCTAAAGTGATTAGCCAAGTGCAACGTAAATCTAATTTTACTTACTGAACGGTAAAATGCAGAAAAAAATAGAAGAAAAACAATTTATAGCAGTTTAGAAAGCGTGCAATGAATTTTATCGATTCTGGTGGCAACAAAAATGGCATGCAATTCTTTGCGATACCAAATTTACAGTAATGTTTGAAATGTAGTGCCAACGGACGAGTATATAACGTGACAGAATAAGAGTGACCGACCGTGCTTTGGAAAATCCGGGTTCTATTTTCGGCCCGAAAGCAGGCTGTCTCGACTGAGATGGCTCGTGGTGTTTCACACTATCCCGTTAAAGCACGAAGCTCATGTACGTAATATTTAAAAATCCAGTTCCTACCTCAAAAAAAAAGTCTCCATTCCAAAAATCA